GTATATAGCTTTAAACTAGCCTTTAAGCAACCACAAAGCAATTTTACGAAGTTCTGCACTATGCTCAATGTAATTATACTGCTGAGAGAAGAAGAGATTAGCCACCATTAATGTGTGTGTATGCTGAGAAAAGAACACATTAACTACCATTAATGTAAGTGTATGCTAATTATCAAATGATAGGTTGATTTGGAAGACTTGGATCAGCAACTTTGAAATCTTAATCAAAGATCTGGAGTTCTGCATAAAACAGATGTTATGTGATTGATGGGATTAACCCCAACTGGGAACAGCAAGGCTGGGTTTATTTTGACCGCTATTACGCGTGTGTCTGCACTACAAACAAGGTGACCTATATTAGGTTGACTTACAGGTCCACACTGCTTTCCTTCTGTCAGTGGTGCATGTCCTCACCAGAAGCACCTCCACCAACTTAAGAGTGGCCTGTTCTCAGCTCCCCACTCCCTGCCAGGAGCCTGGGCGCAGGACACCGAGAGCCCAGGCAGCAGCCAGGCTCTAGTGGGCGCCCTCCACCCACTCTGGGGTGATAGTCAGAGCTGTGAGTGGCTTTCTTGTCAATTTCACACGTGAAATTGACAAGAATGACAGCCAACAGCCTATGTAAGTAACCCACAGTGTCTACACTGACACTGCATTGCCTAACTACACTGACGTAAGCCCTTCTCCGCTCGTGGAGGTGGAGTTATGTTGGTGTAGTAAGCCACTTACATCGGTGGGAGTAAGGCTGTAGTGTGTACACTGACATAATTAGGTTGATGTAAGCGACCTTACGTCGACTTAATTCTGTAGTATAGACCAGCCTTAGTTACCAACCATGATAGCCAAGAGCGGTCATGTCCATGGTCAACTGAACTGATTCTGTGTCACAAAGTGGTTACAAGACAAAGAAGCACCACAAACTGAAGTTACTATTGGAACAAAAATTAGTTTAGCTATTCCCTCTTCCTTGTATCACAATGCAGCCCATTAAAATCTCACCCAACCCCTGCCAAAAAAAAAATCATTTTTTTTAAATTATACAGAAGAAAAACTAATTATTCTAATTACTACAATAATTTCTACCCCCAGTGAGGGGCAGTAGCTTTCTCTAGCTGACAAAGCGCTGTCCACACCAGCGCTTTTTGTTAAAATTTTTGTTGGTTGGGGGGGTATTTTTTTTACCAACAAAAGTGCAACGTAGACATAGCCTTGACATGCTCTTAGTTCAACCACAAATTGCTGGGCTGGATGCAGGAATCACTGGGTGAAATTCTATGGCCTGGGTGACACAGGAGGTCAGACTAGATGATCATCATGGTCCCTTCTGGCCTTAAAATGTATGAATCTAGACTTGTGTAGTCTAAACTGCACCAGAGTTCTGCCAGTGCAGCCTGTGGCTTTGATGCAAATGTGGCCCAACAAGACTATGGGTCCCAACTTGCAGGGTTCCATTTTTCACTGGTTGTGGTAAAATGATGGATTGGTTGTTGGGACTTGTAGTCTCTGCAAGCCTCATCTCTTACTGAAAGATATGGGCAGCTGAAATATGCTTCATTTTTATGCAAAGTAGATACAGCCCTTTGGCTGCTGGCAGATTGCCAGTGCAGCCCTCAGAAGGGCAAAATGTAGAGAAATTCGAGAAATCCTGTGAAAGCTGTCTTATTCAGCATTGTATAGAGCCTGTGTACTGTCACTTGAGTGCTTTGTAAAGCTAACAAATTGGAAATTTACAGCTTCTCATTTTAATTTCAGATCAATTGTGTTGCTTCTCCTACCAGTAGCACGTTGCTGGTGGTACCGGTTAACACAGATGAGAATTACAAAATCCCAGTGTGGTGTTAAACTAATGCTTAGGAGGGTTGCTGTCTAAAGGCAATAACACAGTTTTCTTTTTCTTTGTGGAGCATGTTGTTCTTCTGCCATGTAGTGGTTGATGTTTGGCACATTGCAGGTTGGCTTTCTGTTTCAGAAATCAGTGACATGTAGTCTCTAGGTATGCAGATAGTCCCTTCTTTCAGAAATCTCAGTCCACTTCCAGGGGTCCACTGTGCTTCCAGAATTGATTCTAGTTAAAAGCAGAGAATAAGCTCCTGCTGCTTGCAAAAACTAACAATACAGCACTACTTGTCATGTGAAAACTTGCTTGCATGGTCAGAAAAAAATTTAAGACTATGCATAGCAATGTCATCTACTAGTTTCTCCCATAGCAAACATTTTACAGCAAAGATTGAAAGGGTGTGTATTTGGGAAGGGGAAAACAGCATCTCTCTCCCAGTCACACTAGTGGTACCAAAAAGGCCTCACAACAATTCTGTTTCACCCTACACCTTGGTTTTATCAGAAGAACTGGATGCTATGGTAAAGGAATCCACCAGAAAAAGTACACACACACAGACTAAGATCAGGAAGGTCCATCATGATAATCTAGTCTAGGGGGTTCTCTCAACAAATTTTTGGTGGCCTCAGCGTGCGGCCACCAACTCTTGCTGGTGGCCACACTGACCATTTTCCCTAAAATAATTAACTTTAGGAAAAACAAATAAATATGCACATATACACATGTCCAAATTATTGTAATTTATTTATGGAGGGTTTATTCAGACTCAGTAATGAAAAATAATTTCCAGTTGTCTCTATTCTTTACTGGACCTAAACAGAATAGAAACACAAATAAGGTGCTTTGCATGTTCTTGTCTTTTTGTTGTTGTTGCTTTTGCTTTTTTGGTTGTGCTTTTTTTTTTTTCTTCTTAAACTTGTTACCTGGTAAGTCTTCTGCTGTGAAAAGTGATACTTGTATGTTTGTTAATACCACTTTTCACAGCAGACTTACGCAGCCCCAGGAAGCTCTGGGACAAATTAAGTCCTGAATCGGGAGGTGGGCAGGGAGGCAGCAGGACCCAGTGACAATGGCAAGGATAGTGAGCCTGGGGCCGGCCCCGTGGCTGAAGCCTGCCTCCCCTACCCCTGGGAAAGTGAGGAATTCACCAACTGCCTGCACCTCCAGATTGTATGTCCCCGGAGGGGAGGCAGGGCCCAACCTCTGCTAGCAGCCCTGAGAGGGGCCACTGCTTTCTCCTCCCACCCATCAAAGCCCAGATCGCTGTGGCCGCAAGAAAAGGCCCTGGTGGCCGCATTTGAGAAACACTGGACTAGAGCAAACTTGGAAATATTTAGACAGTGTAATTTAATACACAACTAGGACACTTTAATTTTCTTAATTATGGTCAATTATAGTGTTCATATGGCTCTCTCTCACACCCAAACTTCTACTTGATGCCTCAATGAAATCATAGCTCTGTTTAAGGCAAAACAGTCTGCCACAAAATTACAACTTCACTACAGGATCGGAGAGAATGAAGAGTTAGGGAAAGAAGGCACAAAGTTTTGTTTAAACACAAAACACTTCAGAAAGCAGTAACACTGATTATAAAGTATGGAGGGGTATTTTTTGTTTTTAAGTCCTGTATTTGAGTTTTGCACCTTTCCTATCAGTATGAAAGTCCCCTAAGGCCATCTTACATTAACATGAAGCAAAAAGAAAAGGAGTACTTGTGGCACCTTAGAGACTAACCAATTTATTTGAGCATGAGCTTTCGTGTCCTTTTCTTTTTGCGAATACAGACTAACACGGCTGTTACTCTGAAAATTAACATGAAGGTTTTCCTTCTCTGCAGTTCATGCATTGAAGACATTTCCATGTCACTGTGTGGAACTCAAAATGAATATGCTGTTGTAACAGTTTAAAATGCACCTCATTGCATCATAACTTTAAGTCACAGGGTAAAGGAATCAAAAAAGAGAGCATACTCAAGAAAACAGAAGAGGAAAGTTAGAAACAACATTATCTGGGTTAAAGCAGCCTTACCAAAAAATAGCCATGAAAATTCGCCAGCTCATTTACCCTGTGTTATCAGTTATCATGGAAAATAAGTGGTATTTTTGTGTACCCTGGGTGCATACAGCGAGTTAAGAGTGTAGTTCCTCTAAATCTCATTGAATGTCTGAGCTCTTGATGAGACACACTGACTTGGCAGCAACAGTACAGGCAGACAGCTTTACAAGCTTTCCCAAGAACATAGTTCTACCAGTGCATCTTAATTCTAAACATGCAACATCACTGTTGTTCTGGCCTGGACGTTCTGTTGCACAGATTCCCAGCAAAACTAATGTGAACTTCTAGTCACGGGGGTGGGGGGATGAGGAGGAAGCTAACTTCTGGTGATTAAAGTGAACCATCAAACTCCTCACTTGATCTCAAACCTGATTTGAGCCCCAGCCTGAAATGCAGAGCGCACAGCATTACCTCCACCCAATCCCCAGGAACAATCATCTTCAGTTTTGTTAAAAGTTGAGAAAAATATGATTTTGAAAGTAGCGAAAATCTAGTTTATTCTAAGGAAAACGAATTTCACACACTTGAAGTTTTATTTTTTCAGAGATTTGTCGTTCTTAATTGTAAGTTTATTATTTTCTTTGTTACTTTGGAGATGTGAACAACTTAGCTTCACTTCCCCACATTCCAGCAATATCTAAGCAAAATGTTTTCCTTCTTGTTCATTCTAAAGACAAAGAAGGAATGTAGTGGTATGCAGCTCTAAAATGCCAGATAATTCACTTCACTGTTCCAGTTGGTGCTAAATCAGCATTCTCCTATTACTACTCAAACAATGTGTGCATTTCCTATTAAAGTTATTTATGTGCAGGAAAATACAATACAAAATGAGCAAGAGCCAGGATTAAAAGACTGTTCACAATCCTAGCTGTACACTGCTTGAGGCTGTCTGAAGATAGCAAGCAAAATGTACTATAGAAAAAACTGATTACAAATCATTCTTACTCCTTGAATTGTACGGATGAAGTGTTCTTACAGTTGATTTTTCCTCTATCAGTAGTTTAACAGGATCACAGTATGCATCATAATGCTTTAAAACAGAAAAGCTTCTGGAAAACCCAAACAAAAGGAACGTCACCAAGTGACGTCAGCCTATATACAGTTCTGTGTGGTCGCAGCGCATAAGCAAATCCATTCTTGTATCGTTTCCCTGAAAAGCTTTTCAGTAAATGCACTCATGCTACTACAGGAGCTTCTCTCAGCAATAAGCCACCCATCTGCCATCAACAAGTTAAGATTAAAAGAACCCACAGCCGTGGAAAAAGAACGTGAGCTTCAATAAAACCACTGAGCAGTCACAGGAGGAGGAAAAAACCAACAATTTATATTCAGCATTGATTCCACAATTACAGACCTGTCACATGAAATCAAGCCAACGAATTTAAAAGGAGTATTTTGAGAGAGCATGGTGGATTCAGTCTTACACTAATATCGAAGGACACTAGAAAACAGTAAATTATTCAAAGGCTGTCTTACATTAGAGCCTTTTACAGACTCACTGCGTTGAGTCTAAAACTACGACTGAATGCAACCTCCAATGTACTCAAAAGAATGGGTAAGTTTACACATTTATATATACCTTTTATGACGAAAGAACAGCTATGCTTTAGAAAAACAGAGGTACTAAAAACAGATTTTCTGAACTGAAGCCTTTTAAAGGCATGTTCAGATTGTCACTTATTGAAGATTATAATGTAGATAAAGATTTGTATGAAGGACAATATCCAAGTACTCTGTATTTAGTAAGTTTATTCGTTCTTACATTCAGAAGTAGCTTTTTAGAGATGCATGAAAGTAATCTGCAGTGAAATCTTTCACCATAATGTTCTAAGTGTACATGATCTGATAAGAATATCCTATCTTGTTGTTTCCCTAAATTATATTCTGCAGGCTTACATTTCAAGTGGCCATTAGGGGCTCCTATGCTGGCAGCACTATATGCAATGAGTATGGTTTTAAAATTGCTGCCTGCCTTGGGCATGGCTTGTCCACCAAAATGTCGCTGTGAGAAGCTGCTCTTTTACTGTGACTCTCAGGGGTTTCACTCAGTGCCAAACACCACTGACAAGGGCTCTCTAGGTTTGTCACTGAGGCACAATTATATTTCTGAACTTGAAAGGGATCAATTTGCAAGCTTCAGTCAACTTACTTGGCTTCACTTAGATCATAATCAAATTGCAACAGTAAGAGAAGATTCTTTTCAAGGACTATATAAACTTAAGGAATTAATCCTAAATTCAAACAAAATCTTTTATTTGCCCAACACAACTTTTAGCCAACTGCTGAACCTGCAAAATTTGGACCTCTCTTTTAATCAGTTATCCTCTCTGCATCCTGAGTTGTTTTATGGACTTCGCAAGTTGCAAACCTTGCATTTACGTTCCAACTCCCTGCGGACTATCCCAGTCCGCCTTTTCTGGGACTGTCGTAGTCTGGAGTTTCTGGATCTGAGCACAAATCGCTTGCGAAGTTTGGCTCGCAATGGATTTGCAGGATTAATCAAACTGAGGGAGCTTCACCTAGAGCACAACCAGCTGACAAAGATTAATTTTGCTCATTTCCTACGGCTAAGCAGTCTGCACACGCTCTTCTTGCAGTGGAACAAAATTAGCAACTTGACATGTGGGATGGAGTGGACCTGGGGCACCTTAGAAAAACTGGATTTGACTGGAAATGAAATCAAAGCCATTGATTTGACAGTTTTTGAAACTATGCCTAATCTTAAAATACTCCTAATGGATAACAACAAGCTAACCACTCTGGATTCCAAGATCTTAAATTCACTTACATCCATAACTACAGTGGGCCTCTCCAGCAATCTGTGGGAATGCAGTCCAAAGATATGTGAATTAGCCACATGGCTGAGTGGTTTTCAAGGTCGGTGGGAGCACTCCATACTGTGCCACAGCCCAGACCACACCCAAGGAGAGGATATTCTAGATGCGGTTTACGGTTTTCAGCTTTGCTGGAATTTATCAACTATTGTTACATCCATGGTTACGAGTTACAGATCTCCAACTACTGAGTATACAAAAAGAATAAGCTCATCAAATTTCCATATGGGAGACAAAGAAATTCCAACTACTGCAGGCATAGTCGTTACTACTGAAGAACATTTCACTGAACCAAACAATGCCATCTTCACTCAGCGGGTAATTACAGGAACAATGGCTTTATTATTTTCTTTCTTTTTTATCATTTTTATAGTGTTCATCTCCAGAAAATGCTGCCCTCCCACATTAAGAAGAATTAGGCAGTGTTCAATGATTCAAAACCACAGGCAACTCCGATCCCAAACACGGCTACATATGTCAAACATGTCAGACCAAGGACCATATAATGAATATGAACCCACCCATGAAGGACCTTTCATCATCATTAATGGCTATGGACAGTGCAAGTGTCAGCAACTGCCATATAAAGAATGTGAAGTATAATATCTACAAGTCATCAAAAATTAAAACCAGATAAGTAACTTATTTTAAAATTGATGGGGACCTACATATGATTCTAATTTTTAGAAATGTTGACATAAATCCTAATTTTCCAAACTATTTAATGGAGGCATTGTTTTTGAAGTGGTGCAGTATTTTAAAGTTTTTTTTTTAATAAAATCATATTTTCAGTGTTAAAGCAGCAATGATTATATTAAATTTGCACTCAATGTTTGAAAGTCTAAAAAGATGCTCACCTCAAAACATGTACAATGTTTCATGTTATGTAATTATATGACTATGTGTAAATATTTATACTTAAGTCTCCATAGTCTACTTTTTCTAATGAAAATAGTCTGAATGAAAGGAAGCTAGATATATGTACAGAGATCTGTGAGGGAACATACATTACATTTGTTCCATTGTAGCTATGTGATCACAAACATTCCAGTTGGCTCAGTTCACTTTTCAAGGTTGACTTGCAGGAAGATTTTCCTTTTGTGATAATCTGACTCTTAAATCTACAATCAGAGAAGAATGGGAAGGGGATTTTTCAAGCGTATTGGAGACTGGTGATTTTAAATATTGTTTTCCTACCTCCATATTGATAGTCAGCCTTGCCTAAATGTACCTTTGCTAAAGCTCACAGCAAATTTACAATACAGCAGTTTTATAGAATTACAAACCGACTCTCCAAATGCTTAGAAAGTACTCAAGTGCTTATGTAAGAAGACTCGATACAATGCAATCAATTTTAAGTATTAAATGTGTTTAACTCTGATTAGATCTCTGGTTTGACTTGACAATTGGCACAGCTTTTCAAATAATTTAGGCAAATTATTTGGGACTATGAATGAAGGGTATTTCAACAGCTTCTCATGTGTAAGTACTCTGAATGCAAATTTTAACGAAAAGCAAATATCAATTTGGGGGTGAAAAGGGACTAGGGAGGGAAGAAGCCCTCTCCTGTCCTCCCCACAGCAGTTTCTTCATCTTGCCTAGAAGCTATTTTCATGCACTAACCCGACAGGTTTCTCTGGAGACAGAATTAACCCCTGCAATATAAGCTTTCACTTATCCTATTCTTGTGAAACCCCCAACCTTCCCAAAGTCAAAGTAGTTAAACATTTTTTTAATTGTTCAGTTGATAAATTATAATTAGCTTAGAAAGTATTTAATTGAAAAATGTTTCATTTTATACTTCAGTGATATGAGATGAGAAGGCCCTATGCTATTTGCTATTTACTCACCTTGGAAACTCAATTTTCTTTTATCCAGAAGTAGCATGTGCTATAAACTCTATTATGAAATTACATGTAAATATTTGGAGATCTATGCAGCCACAGTGGTTTTAGACACCACAAATATAAAATTACAATATTTTAAAGAAAATTGCTCAAAATATTGTAAACTTTAACCAAAGTTACTAGACTAAGGGGGAATTTATATATATAAATATGTATATATATTTAAAATGTGTTCTGTGTCAAATGCTGCAGTGTTCGACAATTAGCAGCAGCACACAACTGGAGAAAACAATTCCTCAGTGTTGACATACTGTAATTATTGATTTATTCAAGGTATGTTAATTATGTGTTGTACCAAACTTCTAAAAACTTTTAGAACAGATAGTCAGTGCACAAGTCTGTTTGCTTTTAGTAAACTCAGCATTATATTTACACACACTTAGGGTACAACTATACAACATTGTGATGTTTTATTGTGAAAGAAATAGGTCTCAGATAAATAAATGGGGCTTCAGATAATATTTTTTATAAATATTTTTAAATTATTCTCTTGTGCTATCCACATGCTTCCCATTACCTTTATGGAACGCATGACTTATGAGGAGAGGCTGAGGGAACTGGGATTGTTTAGTCTGTGGAAGGGAAGAATGAGGGCGGGGGGATCTGATAGCTGCTTTCAACTACCTGAAAGGGGGTTCCAAAGAGGATGGATCTAGACTGTTCTCAGTGGTGGCAGATGACAGAACGAGGAGTAATGGTCTCAAGTTGCAGTGGGGGAGGTTTAGGTTGGATATTAGGAAAAACTTTTTCACTAGGAGGGTGGTGAAACACTGGAATGCGTTACCCAGGCTTGACAAAGCCCTGGTTGGGATGATTTAGTTGCGGATTGGTCCTGCTTTGAGCAGGGGGTTGGACTAGATGACCTCCTGAGGTCCCTTCCAACCCTGATATTCTATGATTCTATGTTACATGAAACTGTAGTGTCCCAAATTAGCAAGAAAAAAAATATATACATTTTCTTATTCTCCAAGATTTTGTATTCTATTAAGGCAAGTGCATTCAGTAAAGACTAGGTTCCCATAATTTTTTTAATGAACCCATTTACTGTTAGAACCCAACTACAGTCTGATTATCTTGCATTACAACTATCCCAATTACTTTCAGCCATATAGAGTACCTTCTAAGCATACAGAGGAAGTGGTAGGAGGAGGATGAGAAGGATGTTCTGATGATTAAATCACACATGCAGTGAGGCCAGATCTAAGTTCAAAAAGTAGATTTACTGGCACCAAGTATATTGAACCACTTGTGATAAAAAGATTTATTTAATCTTTTACAAATATTAAGTGTTCGTGGCCCTTCATTTACATCTAAGCTTCAGTCTTGCCCTCCGATATGTGAGCAGGCATCATTTCATATCTTGTTAAAAATCTGTGCATGTCTGTGAAAGCACAATAGCTTTACTAGCTTTAGTCGTGTAAATTACTGGGTATTAGCGGGCAGGATCAAGCCCTTGAAGTGCTAGCTTTCATAAGAGTCTTTGCAAGTGCAGCCTTAGGTGCAAACAGATGTGCTCAGGAATTAGAATCACTGATCATTCCAGCAATGGTGGGTAATCAAATGCTTTTGCTGCGGTATCCCCACTCAGGAAGTCAGGGCTAAATTTCTGCTGCTCACAGCCCCTAACACAAGAGTATGTTCTCTCCTTATCCAATAAGATCCTACTGTTGTCCTTTGGTGGAAAAGTGACTTGAAATCCTTCACTCCAGCGTGGAGAGGGAAGTAGTGGGTGGGGCAATGGCTGTCATGCTATCCCCAGGAGTATGTGGCTGTGTTGCATTTGCAATTCTGAATATGAGTCCTTATTAGCAGTCATTTTTAACATAGTTTACAGTCATGATTAAGGAATGCTAGCAGGCTTCCAGCCTACCTTGTCAACAGGGCTATGTCTAAAACCATTCCCCTTGTTTGCCATGCCCCAAAACCCAAACAGAACAATGTTTGCCCCCAGCCATTAGTAACCATCCAGTCCTCTAGAATTTCATCACTCTCCCCTCCCTCAGACTTCCAGGAACCAGCTTTCAGCCAATGCACCCACACCCCTTTTGAACCAGTACTTTAGGCTCAGCCTTGCCTAGAGATGGTAAAGCAGTAAGGCACACACACAATCTAATGCCATGTAAGCTGTGGAGACAAGATAAGATTTAGCAGCCTCTGAATCACCCATTTTACACAAAGCTAATCTCCCAACTGCCTCAGAACATAATTGCAACTCCCTAGCAGCATTTAGCCTTCAGAAGTCAACACCCACCATTCAGCGAACGACTGTTGGATGTTCACACATTAGACCCCAGCAGTGAATATTACATTCAATGTAGTGTGCGGTCATGTAATCTAGATGATGCCAAATGCTGGCAATGAAAATTTAACCAGGTTTCCCTAATAATAAGCAGTAAGTAGCGAGCTATGCCAGTGTCCTTTGCAAGAACTCATTAGAGGGAGCAATTCCAAGTGATTTAAAAATTGTTTTCCATTCAATTGTTTGTGACTCCATCACCACAATAATTTTATTTCGTTTGCCAAACACTTATTTCTTGTGTTTCTTGTTTAGCACAAGCCAAGGTGGCTTGGTTTAACTTGTGTTCCAGTAGCAGGACGAATGACCACGACCTACGTTCCATCTTTTGGTTGCTGTGTCTACGTTCAGATGCACTGCATGCAGTCACAGCTCCTATCAAGTTTAGTTGGAATTCTTAGAGCTTAGCACTTTTACACACACAATTAATGTGTGTGTAGACAGCTGAAGAATTGCTTGCCATCCTCTAGAGCATTCTCCAAAGCCCACTCACCCTCTGCTCCATTCTCCACCCAATTTGCTCATCCTGTGGGCCCCCCCACCTTCAGTCTCAGTGACATTTGAATCCAACATCTGGAACCAGTTTAAATCATAGTACTTGAGTGGACCAGAATAAGGAAGAACGAGCTCTCCCATTTCTAGTAATTTCTCTGCAATGGTGGATTTTTTCCCCACTTATTTTTTAACTTTGAAGAACTGCCTGATAAGGCATTGGGCGAGTCAAGTCTTGTTCCTGTACTACTTAATAGTGCTCAATCAACAGGAGGTTAATACTGTTATCAGACGTAAGGCTACCCGGGCCCATAAGCATTGGGGGATTAAGCTAAATTTCAATGACAAACTAATTTATGTGCAAATTCAAGTGTCTGTGTCCACATCAAGCTACAGCCCTTTGAAGACAGCCACCTATTGCCAACACTTGAGAGCAGAAATATCAGCTTGCTTTTTAAGACAGAAATCTGCACTAACACTTGTTTCCTAATGTGCCTAAGTTAATTTTTTTACTAGTTTAATGAAATGAAAGTTGATTGAATTTTGTAATTGGAGTAGTTTAAAACTTATCTGTTTAGCTTAATGTAATCAATTTGGAAAACTAGATTTCATCTTCCAAAGAAGTGGATTTCCACACAATGACGACACTTCAGAGGGGGATGGAGTCTTCCTTCTCCCACAGATAAAACAAAATCGAGGGAGGTTTATTAGTAGTGTCAAGTCATTCATGTCAATTCCTCTTTCCAGAACTAGAACTGAGATTTATCCATAAACTGAGGCTGTCAGTTTTTTCTTTTAAATGATCATCCATTGATTGCTAGTGGCACAGTTAAATGCCATTGTGTAGTCAAGTTGGGGATCATGCATTTCATATTTTGTATTAAACACCTTCTTTAGAGAAAAGTACTAGGGAAAGGTACTAGGATCTAATCAAATCTTATCTACTATCTAAGGTAGGCAAACTCATACTACCTAATAAGGTCAAAACAACAACAAGCTTTCAGATCTATGAAGCAAGCATACAAAAGGCTCCATCTGCTACACTTTCAACTAAACTTTCATAATGGTTTAAAAAAAACCCACAGATTTTAACACAGTAGTGAACTTTTTCTACCAACATTGAGACCAGAGATTAAAAAGCAGAGTCCCAAATGCATTGTATTCAAGTCATGTTAAAGAGCCATTTTCTGGTGGGGGTGAAAATACAAAATGGAGTAAATTGAAGTGCAGTGTACAGAAAGGTTTTGTTATTAAAACTGTGTATACCATAAAACTGAATTTGCCTCTTTTTTTCCTGCCTTCTCAAACAAATATCTAGAAATGTCCAGTTTTATGGTAATGTAAAATTAGTAGTCACACCACTTCAAAGCGGACTGCCTAGAAATCTCAGTAGTGAAGTGTCGGACAGTCTGTTTACTGTACACCAATATGTTGCTTTCAATTACACTTTATGGACTGAAAAAGTCTGAGTATCTGAACTCTTCATGCAGTCTGTTTCTTTATTGAGTCTAGAAAGTTTCTTGCAGAGGGAATATGAGTTATTGCTCATGAAAGGTGACAGATTAATGGCTCTGGAGACAGAACCCTTTGTACTCATCTATTTAATATACAGCAATACCTTCCACACATCACTGACAGTATGCCTCAACTACGACCTTGGAGTAGCCATCTGCAAGATTGAGAGAATAGTTCCCTCCCTATTCTTGTTCAGTCTTTAGACTCTCTATTGCCACAATCAACAATCAATGGTGCCAACTGGGGTGGTGGGTAATTCAGACAGAGCCACCTGTGAACTCAATAAGGACAAGCAACCCAAATCATTTAAAGATAGTATGTGCTGGTGGTTTAGTCTCAACTTTGAATCATTACCAAGCAGAACCAGATATGAACTGCTGACCTCAAAGAAAGTTCCATAGCCCATTATCACGGTCTTGAATTATCCAGTACAGTTCTCAGTACAGGCTACTTGCAGTGATATTCTCAAACACTGGTTATTAAATCAACAAAGATGCTTTTCTTCCATCGCGTAAAGAGATTCAGAGTTAGAGGATGTTAACTTACTAAAATTTCTTTAAAAGTACTTAACTAAAACAAGAGAACTTAAAATGACAGAAAAAAGTTTACTTAATTTGCAAACAACCAAAAATTAAATAGTTTAATTGTAGCTACATTTACTATAGGAGAATATTTCCTTAAAGAAAGGTTTGTATGTGCAAAACAATGAATAAAATGACTACTTTTAAAAAATGCAGAATATCAATGTTTACTATAGTTGGCTCTAACAACCCCCTAAATTCCTTTCTGCCTTCAAAAAACTGCATAACGTTTAATCTAAAATCAATACAGAAATATAAATGGGATACTTAGAATTTTCCATTTAAGTCCTCCTATATGTGACTAGTAACAATTAAGGAACTTTATTCACAATATGATTAATGCTGTTCCTAGTAATTTTGACAAGGATACTGCAGAACTCCAAATCTCTAGCTAGAAATTCTTGACTAACACCTTAAAAAGAGAACTGCAAAAGTGATTTGAAAACTGAGGCAAGTCTGATAATGTGCTGAAATACCCCAACAAACAGGAGGTGGGATACATTCAACACAAATCTTCCTTAACATTAAAAGCTCCTTCCCCAAGCCTTTAATACCAATTAATCAAAATATGCACAGAATACATGATTTGTTACTGATGCTAGAGTCATGCTTTGCTATCTGATATACAGAAAATGTATTCTGGGGTGTATTTTTTGAAAAAGGGCCAAATGACCACACTAGAATTTTTTTAGATGAATTCAGCACAAAAATAACTCAAGAATCTGGCTACTTGAGGCATTAAGCACATATTTTTACAATTAAAGGCAACCTTCAATATTGTGGAAGGGTAGGGAAGGCTACAAATAACTACTAGTGGCCTCTTCTATTCTTTCTGATGTATAAAAATCTAAAAACTGTAGAATTGCTTGCCTTAGCCTTCTAGACAGGACCGGAGTTTTCCATGTAAACAGAGATGACTTGAGAAGTACTGAAGTGATATTGCAAGGAAAAAAAAAAGTGAAAGTTGAGCTATTAAAACAAGGGTGTTTTGCAGAGAAAGTGGATGAAATATCTTTTATTGAACCAACTTCTGTTGGTGAAAGAGAGAAGCTTTCAGGATCCACAGAGCTGCTCTTCTTCTGAACAAAGAGAATAGGCTATGACCTCACATACTATGGTGTGCTTCATGTTCTGGCACCAACATAGCTACAACACTGCAAGCAAAGGAGTTTTAGTCAGACTATTTAACTTCAATTATTAATTAGCATTTTGGAAAAATGATCCTTCATTCAAGAGGTCTGAACTCTAACAATACACATCTTGAGACTTCCAGTAGGTTTGCCAACAAACCCAGTTGACATTCCTGATTACCAAAAAAACGTTATAAGCTTTCAGGCCCTCTTTATGTAGCATACAGAAGCACCGATAGGTACACTCCCATTTAAAAAATTCTTAGTAGGTCACTTTTAAATCAGTTCAAGTTTGCTTTGACATTAACTTTTCAGGCATTTTTCTTCACATGTATTTTACAAACTGAGTATTTGGGATTCTTTTTCAAAGCCAACAACTGAAGAAAAACTAAAGGAGTACTTGTAGCACCTTAGAGACTAACCAATTTATTTGAGCATGAGCTTTCGTGAGCTACAGCTCACTTCATCAGATGTATGAAGTGCATGTATGAAGATGTATGTATCACATCTGATGAAGTGAGCTGTAGCTCATGAAAGCTCATGCTCAAATAAATTGGTTAGTCTCTAAGGTGCTACAAGTACTCCTTTTCTTTTTGCGAATACAGACTAACACGGCTGTTACTCTGAAACCTGAAGAAAAACTGTTTCCCTCCCCACATTTTCCATCCTGCAAGCTAGGATCAACATACTCACTTGGTCATGTAGGACATGTGCAATTGTTTTATACCAATTCAATGCCGCTTAGTCTTCTAAAAGAAGTCAGCAAGTAAGAGTTCATTCATCAAGAAGAATCAAACACTGAAAAGGTCATAATTCTTTACAGGCAAGAACAATTAATTCTGTATTATAAATCAAAAATATAAATCTTACGTCCAACCTAATTGCTCAGAGTCTGAACTTCAAGTGTTACAACTGCTACACTATTTTAAAAATAAGTGTATTGAGGATTTTTTCTCAGCTTGAGCACACAGCCTTCTAATAAAAGGTACAGGCATCTTACATTTGGTAAGTAGCAAAGGTGGGCCAATACTTCCCAGATACTTTAAGAGTCCGCAGATTTTCCTTCACATCTAAAGTTCTATTTGGACAATTTTAAGACTACCATGCAGATAAGGAATATGCCAGTTCAGAAACAATGAGATAGATAAGATGGAGAGATATATTTCCTGAGGAAAAAGGAAGGTATAGTTTTACGGTACACCTTACAATGATTAATAAAAGACCAAAAGCAGACAGAAAATGGTTGCTAATTCACTCACCCTATGGACAGTCTTCTTCATTACTAGCAACACTGTCTTCAGATTTCAGAACTCTAAGAAGATGGTAGCCACAATAGGCTTAAAGGGTGACAGGTAGAGAAAAGCACACCTAGTTTAAAATGAAGGCTCTGAGGAACATATAGCTCTGGGCCATTCAGGGTATGTCTACACGACAATTAAAAACCCACAACTGGCCTGCGTCAGCTGACTCAGGGTAAGGGGCTGTTTAATTGCGGTGTAGAAGTTCTCCTCTTGCTGGAGCCTGGGCTCTGGGACACTGCAATTAAAACAGCCCCTTGACCCAAGTCAGCTGCCATGGGCGTTTAATTGCAATGTAGACATACCCATACTGGCAGTACAGCAGCAGTGAATCCTGGAAATAAGGGGCTGGTGACCTTGATAAAACTGTCAGTCTCATTCATCTAGGCTCAAAACCAACACCAAGCCCTAGATCTTTAGAGAGGCGATAGCCAGGCATATGAATAGGCTAGACTGCAGAGAGCACAGGCTGAACAAGATGTGGCATGTCTTTCATCTTTGACCTGACAAGCATCGATGCACCACAGTCTGCAACAGCATGACAGTGGGGTTCTCCTTTTATGAGTTACTTTTATACCAACTCAGTCTTTATAACTACCATCTCTTTTTAACAGGTGTGTTTCCACACAAATTTTCTAAGTCAGAGTTTCTCCCTGAGATGCTGATTAGGAAATTTCCTGCTCACAAGAATCCGTCTGTTTGCATAAGACTACCACACCAGGGCCTCAGAGGATAGTATGAGGTCATTTGGATGATTTCTCACTTTTAAGATTACTTTTAGGTTCATAGAGAAGAGTGAGAACAGCCATGCTGAAGGAATCCATAGTCAAAC